CTTGAGCTGCCCTTGCAGAGTTAACACCCAGTGACCTTGAGCTGCCCTTGCAGAGTTAACACCCAGTGACCTTGAGCTGCCCTTGCAGAGTTAACGCGCAGTGATGATTTGTTAAGACTAAAAATAGGAGGCACACATTCATCTCCCCCAGAAAAGGTTAAAAAGAAAAATAAAAGTTTTGATATTTAGCAAGATAGTATAATCTTTATCTTGAACAATAAATTTTGATCTGATGTAAGTTGCCTTTTACTTTATTGCCTAATTCCTGACTCTGCAATTTTTTTTTTTCTCCAGAAAAGGAAGTTTTTTTTTTTTTTTAAATGTGCATCTTTTGTTTATTTATTTGTTTTTTTGGCTGGGGCTGGGTTTGAACCCACCACCTCCGGTATATGGGGCTGGCGCCCTACTCCTTTGAGCCACAGGCACCACCCAGAAAAGGAAGTTTTAAATGCTGCATTTCCTTCTCACTTTCTCAAAACAACTATGCAAACTCTATTTTCATATAATTTGTTCCTCTTTGTCTTCTGTGTCTTAAAAAAAAAAGTTCCATTCCTACTGTTTGGTGTGTTTCCTTCATGTCTTTACGTGGTGCCCAGCCCTGAACTACTGGTGAGAACTTGGTGACCTGACTATGCATTTACTTGCTGGGTTTCAGTGGCCTTGTTTTTGAAGAGCTATTTACATTGTGCCCTTCCTAGGGGTCCTTTGGTGAATTAGATAAACGGAGAATGTACCGATTGTCATAGCTCAGTGTGACAGAAAGAACCCAGTCAGGTCTCAATTTGAATCACAGCTCCCCCATCACTAAACATTCTCAAGCCTCAATTTCATCACCTATTAAATGGGGATAATGTGTGCCAGCTTCCTGGATGGTTGTGAAGATTAAATGCAAGTAACACAAAACAGAAGGATCAACAAATATCAATCCTCTTTTTCTTTCCTCTTATTTGGGTTAAAAAAACTATGTGAGGGTGCGATGCCACCTCCCGGTGTATCAGGCGAACGAGGATGCCCAGGTGTGGGGGTTGAGGGACCCTAGCCAGGCCCCCACCGCAAAAGGTCTTCCCCTTCAGATCCATATTTTGCTCTAAATCACCTTATATAGAGATTCATTCTGTGAATGAAGAAATGGTTTATGATAAAATGGTTGAAGAAATAGTTTATGATAAAAGGAAGCCCTAATTAAAAAAAACAACAAACGATATGAGGGGAAAAAAAGATTGGTTATATAAGTTTGGAGTTGAGACAGAGATATTAGATAAGTCTGTGGAATCTCCATTCATTCTTGTTCCACAAAAGCAGGAATATGGAAGAAAGAGGCCAGGCAGACGCTTCCCCTCCTCACGGCCCTGAGCTCGTCAGTTTCCCACCACTTAGACAAGCCGCCATTTGTGCAGGAAAGCCTGGGGTTGCTGGTGTGTCCACTGGCATCTTTTGTATCTTTCATTGGTTTCTCAAAAAACAAACAAAACCAAACACATACAAAATAAAGCAAAAGTTTGTTTGAAATTGATACTACATCACCCTTTACCATCTAAGATAATGTTGAAATGGAATTCAGGGTACTAGTGATGAGTAGTTCACAGATGGCATCAAGGAAGGCAAAGTCATGGTGCCTTATAAAAAAGTGGCAGATTTCTTCTTGGCTAGAAGTGGTTAGACTTTAACAGGACAGACTTAATTTTTTTTTGACAGTGGCATGACCAGGGAGTGTGGCTGGCCTTAGGTACCTACAGACACCCCTGTATCAGTGATGTGGTTTGGATGTCTGGGCCCTCTAAATCCCATGATGAAACTTGACCCCCAGTGCTGGAGGTGGGTCGTCACACAGGAGGCTGGGTGAGTTCCTGTTTTACTCCTTTGCAGGAGAGCTGGTTGTTTAAAGGAGGCTGCCCCATCTCCTTTCTCCCTTGGCCAACTCTCACCATGTGACATGCCTGCTGTCCTGTCACCTTCCGCCTTGATGGCAGCTTCCTGAAGCCCCCACCAGAAGCAGATGCTGGTGCCAGGCTTCCTGCAGTGCTACAAGCCTAATAAACCTTTTCTTTATAAATCACTCAGCCTCAGGGATTCTTTTATAGCAGCACAAGATGGAGTAACACCATCGCATGTGCCACAACCAGATTGAACTTTAACAGGTTCTCTGCCTCTCCTTAAATACAGGAAAAGGAGGAACAATTTATATCTGAGAAAACTTCCTAAAGTCTTTATATTCCAGTTTGATGCTCACTTACCATCCTCCAAAACCCCAAAGACTTATTTCCCATAACCCCTGCCTGACCCTGGAGGCATTTCTGCAGGTTGTGGGAGCCTGGGGCATCCGGATCACTCTGTACTGAGCGTACACAGACCCTGCTTCAAGGTGTAATTTCTATTCAAAGGAAAACCCCTCTTACCAGCCAAAGGAAAGATTTCTTTAGCTTATATATGTCTTTATAATATTTTGCTCACATACCACCAAACCTTTTCCTTAGAGGGAAATAACTGTTTTACCAGAAAATATGAATTACCTCTACATGCTGAAGTTGAAACACTGAAAAGAGACCAGTGGACCCCAAGAGATGGAGGGAGAGAAGGAGGGAGAGAGAGAGAGAAAGAGAGTGCATCATTATATCAGGGGAACAAAACAATTTAAAAATTCTTAGATAATACACAAAGGAAAAGACATAAAATGTGAGACTTAAAGTCTGTGGCCACATCTGGACGGGGCATAAATGTAAAGCTCTTTCCCCCTGGAAATGTATTAGACAATCATGAATGAAAAGTCACTGCCAGGAAGGAACTAGACCTCTGCGTCCAAGCAGGTGGCTTCCGGGACTCAGGAAACAGCAGATCTACTTAGGCCCAGGGTGGTCAGGTTGTGCTGATGGGTGCTGCAAGCCATTCCCAGACCTCTCAGTTCAGACTTGCTTCAAGGAGTACGGGGGACAGACAGGGCAGCAGAGTGGGGAACATGCAGGTCCCTGGGGTCCAGACTCACCCCCTGTGCCGCCTGGGCCGTCATGTCTGCAGACACCCTCATCCCAGCCCAAGCCAATAAATCCTCCTCTAAGCAGGACCACATGGCCCCAAGTGGCCCTAGTTTAAATTGAGGTCCAGAGTGAGTTGTCTTACTTTTTCCTGCATCTTAATGCATAGTGTAAATGAGTTCTAATTGAAAGAATAACCCATTGGAGCCTTAGCCAGGCTAGTGAGTGATTACTCCCAACTTTCAATTGATTAAACGAGTTTCAGAGAACTAATTGCTCAAGATTCAGACATGGCCGATGACTGAACAGCATGGGCTTTACCCAGGCCCCTGCCCTCTTGGACAGGCCCTTCCATGAAAGCAGAAGGTCTTTCCTTCCCAGACAAGGCAGGTGAGAGACTTCCAGATGGGCCAACATCTCAGAGTCTCAGAAGCATCCTCGCAGGTGGTGGAGCTGAACCAGAGAACACAGTGCATTTCCTGAAGCTGGGTGCAGTGGTTCACACCTAGAATCCAGTACTTTGGGAGGCTCAGGCAGGAGGATCACCTGAGGCCAGAAGTTTGAGACTGGCTTCTGTGAGACCCTGTCTCTACAAAATATTAACAAATTAGCTGGGCCTGGTGGTCTGTGAATGTAATACCAGCTACTTGGGGGGCTGAGGTGGGAGGATTGCTTGACCCCAGGAGTTGGAGACTGCAGTGAGCTGGGATCACGCCACTGCACTCTAGACTGGGCAATAGAGTAAGATTTTTGTCTCTGAAAGAATAAAGATCTAATCATTTTCCTAAGCTATAGCAATACCAATAAAGGGCTGTTTGCTTCCATTGTCCACAAACAAAAGTACTCTTAGTTCCTTATTGAGTACTGATGGGAAAAGAACCTTTCTATTAAGTAATAATAACCTCACCGCATCATTATTTTGAAATACAATTCCATTATTAAACTGTCTTACACCACAAAGAGGCAGGGCTGACATGCCTGTGTGTGTGTTTAAGTTAAATCAGGG